CATGGATGTGTTAAATTGATAAGAAGTGATAGCAAAGATTTATATTGTTAGAAAAGATTTATATTTTGAATAAATGCTGTTTTTTTTTAATTCATTAAAGAATCCTGAAAAAGTGTCGGTTTCCAAAAAAAAATTTTGGCAGCACAACTGTTGCCAACATTGATAATTCTAATAATAAATCAGTATATTAGAATGATTTCTGAAGGATCATGTGAGACTTTAGATTGGAGAAATGGCTGATAGAAATTCAGCTTTGCATCACAGAAATAAATTATATTTTAAAGGGGTCATATGACGTTGCTAAAAAGAACATTTATGTTGTGTATTTGATGTAATGCAATGTGTTAATGCGGGTTAAGGTTAAAAAAACACATTATTTTCCACATACACACACACACACACACTACTGGTCAAAAATTTGGAATAATAGAGAATTCAGCAAGGCTGTATTCATTTGATCAAAAATACAGTAAAAACAGTAATATTGTGAAATATTATTACAATTTAAAACAACCGTTATCCATTTGAATATATTTTAAAAAGTAATTAATTTTTTTGATGGCAAAGATGAATTTTCAGCAGCCATGATGAAATCATTCTAATACGCTGATTTGCTGCTCAAGAAACATTTCTTATCATTATCAATGTTAAAAACATTTTTTTCTGTTTAATGTTTTTGTGGAAACCATGATACTGTACCATCCAAAGCTTTGATGTATGTAAGTATTTAAATAAGTAAAAAAAAAAAACATAACTATTCAAAACTTTTGAGTACTGCTATTTGCTCAGCCAATAGCAGGAGTTCGGGGCGGGCCTAACTGTTTGACCGACCAATAGAGTACATGGGGAGTGATCGGGAAACCTGTCTGGAAACGGTCATTATTTTTTGCAAATATAATCCTTGACAATTAAACAACATTACCAATTAACCACATGTTTGAATTCCGTTCCTAATAGTTGAAACTATGATTTCTTTGCTTCCTATCAGTGGTAGATTCTGTACAGGACAATGAGACAACGGAAGAGCCAAATTCAAATGAGGAAGAGGAGGAAGACGAGGAGGCGGTTTCTTCTGTAAATGAGAATGAAGATGTTGAGGAAGATGAAGAAGACAGAGACGAAGATGAGGAAGATGAACTGCAGGAACAGTCTCCTCCAAGCGGTCATGGCAATCTCGTTTCTCAGCTAAGCACGGAAGAAGGTGTGTTCATTTTCACATAATGAAACTCAGATAAAATTATAAGATAATATTTCAGTATACAAATGCATTTTTTTATTTCCACAGACCCAAGTAAAGTCGTCATCGCATCAGTGCCTCAGTCAAACTCTTTTCTTCAAAAAGAACTGTATAGAGTCCCTGACGGCCCTAGTCCTGTGGTTTTAAGAGGGCCTTTTACTAATCCTGTGGGGTCGCCGCATATAGGCAGCATACATCCGCCACTGCCCCCTAGCTGTATAATAGAAGAACTGCATCGAGCACTGGCAACAAAGCTCAGGCAGGACAGGTGAGGATGTTACCCTATTTTTATTATTGCTCGATTTCAGAAAGACTTTTTATAAATGGGTTTTAGAAGCATTTTCAATAGTTATTACTAATGTATCACATTAAAATGTGTCTCTTTCTTTTTCTTTAGCATTGAGCGAGAGCCAAGTGGAGATGGTGAAAGCAGAAAGGAAGCGGAGGAAAACAAGGAAAATGTTCGACAGGACCACTGCTTCACTGACGCTTCAGGAATTATCTACGATATTGACAGCTGGAACGAATCTGTCATTTCTGGTGGGTTTACACATAACTTTTAATACTTGTAACTTTTTTTACACCTAATGTCATTAGATAGCTACTGCAATGATTTATTATAGCTAGACAATCAGGTAGAATTTGTATGTTTGCCATGATATTATCATTGTATCATTGTGTTTTTTCATGTTGCATAATAAAAGTAGCAAAAGAGATCGATCATTGGTCATTTTTGTCTGGAAATCTGGATTACTTTGGGTTGTTCTGTCAGTAAGTTATGAATTATATGGCAAACGTGTGCAGGCACATTGCCAAGGAGGATGAAGAAGGAACTGCTGGCTGTTAAGCTTCGGAATCGTCCCAGCAAACAGGAGCTGGAGGATAAGAACATTTTTCCTGTGCGGAGCGACCAGGAGAGACAGGAGATCCGTCAACAGATTGAAATGAAGCTTGCCAAGTAAGTCATAAATATATGTTTACTGTACTGCATATATATAAGTATATAAAATATTACACTGCCCTCTTCAGGACGTTTTTGGAAATACATGAAAATGTCATCTTCAGGGACTGCTTAATACTTTTTTTTTTTGCCAAACAAACCTGTTATAACCAACATACACTGTCAACCTTAATTCTACTATTAATTTAGCTACTAATTTTGATCTGTTAATTACACTGGGAAGCTTAGTGCTCGAGTCATATGCTCAATCTCCTTCGTTACGGACAGCAGATATGTTTACCTATATCACTTAAGGATTATATAGACAAGTGAACTTGTGAAACAGATTATGAAAACAGATTTTGTGCAAAGGTAGTGTTAGTATGTGTACAGTGGCTTGTAATGTGATGTAAGGTACATAGCAGAAACTGGGATTACAGTTGATCGAGGATTGGAGTTAATCTGAGGGAATAAATCCACTACAGCTTTCATTTGATTATATTTGATTATATCACCTGCCTTTGACTTCAGGAGTTCAGTTCAGTACATGATGCACTGCTCACGTTTGGTGTAGTGATACAAGCGATTGAGAACCTTCCGCAGACTGCAACAACAATGCTTTGCTTTTGCGTTGCTGTTTTCTGGTTTGCTATTGTTTGTCTTGCTTTGAGTTTTGTTTTGTTTATTTTGCTTTGTGGTTTGTTTTGCTCAGCTGTATTGTTTTTGTTTTGTTTTATTTTTTTCTTTGTGTTTTTTTGTTTAGCTGTGTTGTGTTTTTTTGTTTTGATTCGTTTTGTTGTATTTTGTTTTGCTTTTCTTTGTTTTGTGGATTGTTTTGCTTTGCTGTGTTGTTTGGTTTTGTTTTGCGTTGTTTGTTTTGTTTTGTTTTTTGTGTTGTGGTTTGCTTTGCTGTGTTGTTCGGTTTTGTTTTGCGTTATGTTTAATATGTTTTGATTGGTGTTTTGTGGTTTGTTTTGCCGTGCTGTTTTGCTTTTCATTTTGTTTTAATGCATTTTTACATTTTCAGTATGGCATTACAAATCTCAGCTGTTAGATTCTCAGCAAACAAAAGGAAATTTGTGGTGAAAACTGCATTACCCATGATGCTGTTACGGGGCAAACAAGACGTGAGACATACTGATCCATTTGCAAGCTTTATTAAGGGTGTGATCAAAACAGGCGAGGGTCAGGCAATGGCAAACAGGTATATAGAAGACAAAACAAGAGCAGTCCAGTAAACAAGCGAGGGTCAGTCGACGGCGAACGTAATCCAACAGGGGCGAGACTAGAGGGATAATCCAGGTACAAGGCAAAGATCAGAACACGAGAAAACAGACAAGGCAAGACTACGATAAGGCTAGGAAAACTAAGCAGGCTCCGTAAGGTAAGCTATCAGCTATAGCAGTGATACACCCTAAAAAAAAATACTCAGCCGTTTGAAATGGATCTGAGTAAGTGTTATATAGTGAATGTGTGATTGGTTACAGCTGTGTGCAATCAAAACAAGATAAAAAAATAGAGATATTTTTTGTATCATATCTCTAATCATCTTTAATCAGCACTTATTAATTAAACCGGTACTAACTGCTACTTCATTGTATTGATGTTTATATTTGGTAAATAAATAAGTAAAGTTTTTATATTCTATATGTCTGTCAATAATAACTAATAACATGGATACCATTTTAATTATTAAGTAATTATGAATTTTGTTTCTGATATTGCACAGTAATATCACTATTGCTACTTCTTTGTAATAACATTTATATTTGTTAAATAGATAAATATATATAATTTATATATTAATTTTATAATATAAATTATATAATTTAAATATTAAGTACTCTTATAAGTGAAAAAACAAGTGTTTTTATCATATCTTTAATCAGCACTTTAATTAAATTGTTTTATTATTAATATTTATATTTTTAAATAAATAATAAAATGTTATAATCAATACATGCATATCAATAATAATAATAATTAAAATAGTAAATAATGTACTAAAGTTTTTGGTGGTTGTTAAGGTGAAAATGTAATCTTTACTTCAGTCAAAATACTTAAATGTGCTAACATGCTTTTTGAGGTCTTCCGTTGCTTTGTAGTGCACAAAACCACTACAGACTACTATCAAGTAGATTACTGTAGTCTGTCTGTCAGATAAGATGCATTGCTCAAGCAGGTCTGTTGAGTGACCCTGCGACTGCACTCTTGATTAGATCACCCTCACTGAGTCTCTCTTTGGCTCTTTCAGAGAGGAATGATCAGACGGAGCAAGAGGAAAGAAGAGAGATCAAACAGAGACTGAACAGAAAGGTAAACAACAGCTCTCACATGAACCTCACATTCATTTCCCTTGCAGCATGCTTTATTTGTATATATCATGGATGCTGTTGGTCATGTTTTAGACTTCTGCTGCTAATATTGCTACTTGCAGTAAGACATTATAAAACATTGTCTAGAGCTGAATAAAGATGCATCAGTCAAGGACAAGCAGTGGTTTTCAGAGGGGTAAAGCAATTTTGTGGACTAATAATGTTCAGAATTAGTTGCATCAGATTGAGAGAACCTCCATTAAAGTATTCAGACCATAGAGTTTGATGAGAAGAAAAGAGACGATTTCACTGACATGCCAGAAATGACTGAGATCTGTAAGCTACATTTTTTTTAAAAATGTGAGCATGTGAATTCTTATTAGGCTAACCGAGACTTGTCATTTGCACTTACATATTGTTGCTCTTTTGTTAGTTTTTATTGCTTCTATTGTCCTCATTTGTAAGTTGCTTTGGATAAAAGTGTCTGCTAAATGATTAAATATAAATGTAATGTAAATGTTATACAATTATCTAAACATCCCCATGCTATTTAATATTTCCCCATCACTAGAAATATTATTTCATGATTTATCACTTTTGACCAAAAGCTGGCTCCCAGACTCCCAGATTGATGTGGTGTGGTTAACTAGGGGTGATGATGACACGCACATAGTTTGGTGCCAGTATGCCAAAGAACTGCAGAAAAACAGCCTTAGATCCATTTTGGCATTTTTCATATCTCCTGACCACTTGGTGGCAATGTGGCAAAACTGTGCAGGTAACCTCAGGACATGGTCGTCATAACAACCTCCAAGTTTGCACAAAATTAAAAATACAAGACGTAAAACATGATAGTTCCACCTAGTGGCCGATTTCTTTCAAATTTCTCACAGACCTCTAGGGCCATGAGTCAAACGGGCCCACAGAGTTTCGTTCCGATCGGCCTCTGTTAACCTTGTCTAATAGGTTCTCAAAGTTAATTGGCTGATGGCGGCCATGCTTTTCAAGATACACCAATGCCCTCGAAGATATTGGTGGCACCATGGACAATGACACTGGATGCCAAATTTCAAGTCAATCAGACTAATGGGTGCATAGTTACAGCCATTTTCAAGTTTTTTTTTCTTGTTATAGTGCCACCAAGTGATCAAACTCCCCAATTTTTGTAATTTGAGCAAAGATTGAGCTCATTCATATGTGTTCTGAGTTTGGTGAAAATAGCTTAATCCATTCAAGAGTTATAGCCGTTTTAATAAAAGTGGCTCTACTCACTTTGAACGTTTTTGCGTCCTGTTCCGACCGATAATGGAACTTCAACTTGGTTTAGATAAATTGCTAATCAGACTCCAGAGAACTTTTCTGCACTGGTTTGGTTCTGATTAGGTAAAAAACCTATGACTAGTTTGCAAAAGTATGTTTTGCAAAATTCTCATGACGGAAATGAAATCAGAGATAGACATTTTGTTTGGTTTGAGCCAAGGATTCCAATAAAACATTGACAAACGATGTATGAATTATGCAACAACGATTTTGATCGCTGTAGTTCCCCCTATTGGCCGATTGGAGTCTTTGCCAGTCTCTCCCCAAACTGAGCTCTACCTTCTGGCCAAGTTTCAAGTCTCTAGGACTTATGGTTTGGCTTTGCACTTGAACCCCTATTAATAATAAAACAACAATAACAGCAGCAACAATAACAATTATTATTATTATATTTTGAAATCAAATAGATTTATTGGTTTTATTTTTTTCAGTGTGCAATTAATTACAAATGAATTAATACACTTAGCATGAAACACTATGGCTTGTCTACATTATTGTTAAAAAAATCAGCAATTTACCTCAAAACAGAGGCGTGACGTAGAGTAAAATGAGCATCTAAATGATACAATTGAATCAATTATTTTTTTTATTATTATGCTTTGGACATTGTGCTATTAATTACACATTGTTGTTGTTATGTTTTTGTCAATGATGATGCTAAAAACAACAATAATAATAAAACAATAGAACAACAACAATAAAAATAATGGGAGCCATATCCTTTTTTTGGCATATTTTCCCAGTGTATAATTAATTTAATGTTATTTACTTTTGATTAATACACTTACCATGAATCATTATGGCTTGCCTAAAGTACATTATGGTATAAAAATAAATAAAGAAATAAATAAACAATTTACCTCAAAATAGCAGTGTGATATACACAGTAATATAAACATATAATGAAATAAATAATGAAATTGAGTATTATGATAACAAAAAAGTTTGTTAAGGCTCATCTTTAGGCAGACTGCACTTTCAACTCCTGAGTGTCTCTGTCACTAGTGGAACCAGTGAATTTCATTGGTCAATTGCGATTTCAGTCCCTGGAGAAAATGCGTTACTTGCAACATGGACATGTATCTCATAACTGGTATGCAGCCCCATTAACAACATCATTTTTTAAATCTTACAGCTCAACCAGAGGCCAACAGTTGATGAACTAAGAGAAAGAAAGATTCTGATCCGCTTCAGTGACTATGTGGAGGTGGCCAAAGCCCAGGACTATGACAGGAGAGCTGACAAACCCTGGACAAGACTGTCTGCAGCTGACAAGGTATGAGACAAAGACAGGGTTCTTACACATTTACCCTCTGCCAGTAGGGGGCGCTTTTGGAGCAGCAGAAATATATCGGTTTCCCCGGTAACAGCTGTACACAAAGCTGCGCCACACTTGTAAATGCTGTCGATTAATAGAATACATTAAGGAATGTTTAAAAAAGATTGTGTGTGGGGAAATGGCACGAATGGCACATTCTTCACATTGTTTATTTTAGTAGCATGAAAAACAAATTCATTCATTGGGCACATGCACTCAACAAAACTCCGGCATTTTCAGCTGCTAGTACTCGAGGATTTAGTCTTCATTTTAACCATAATTTTTATTTGTCGTTTTCAAGCCAACGCTCACTGCCGCGGCTACCTCCGATCATCTGCCTGCCACTCCATCAGAGGGCGCACATCAAAAAAGACTTGTAGATCACACTACAGCCACACGCGCAGACTCGAGTGCATTTTTTTTTTGTTTTATGCAAAATTCAAGCATTTTTAAGGATTTCAAGCATCCGTACGAACCCTGCAAAGAGCTGACGTCAGCAAATCTTTACACTGGTCTGCGGTCAGTCTTTAATTCAATAAACCTGCACAGAGAAAAATGGGCTTTCCTTTATTCTTAGTGATTCTCTCAAGGTTTCTAAACCCAATATATTAGTGAAGCAACTAAAAAGCAATCTAATTTGTGTCAGTAGTCTTCTTGCTCTGCCCATGTGACTCGGTTGACTCATTATGGAGTGCGCATGTTACTGGAGGATGCGCTTAAGTGGCTTTTATTTGCGATTCCACAGGCGGCCATCCGTAAAGAGCTGAACGAGTTCAAAAGCACTGAGATGGAGGTCCATGCTTCAAGCAAACACCTAACAAGGTCAGTATGCGTGTACAGCACTCACAGATGTGCCTGCACTATTTTTAGATCCACAAAATCCAAACAGCCTGGTCAAAAAAGACAGGGACACAAATGCGTTTGCATATAAAAAGCATGAATGTGTCACCTTGACATGAATGGTTTTGGATAAGAGGTTCCTCTCGACATTATAACATTAGTGGCCTTTAGAGCTCTTATGCATGCCTACTAAAAATAACTGATTGATGCAACAGCCTTGTCCCTATTATATCGTGTTTGTGATTGCGAAAGGCACCTTTGTTGATTTCTCTCCTCTCCATCAGGTTTCACAGGCCTTAAGAGGGGGTTTTCTTCTGTGAAGAAAATGCTGAAAGCAGTGTTCGTGTTAAAATCCTGGAGGTGCCTCTTCCAGAGCCGTGGCTTCGTCCATGGGATTCCCTTATTCTTCCAGTGCCCTTGGCCGAGTGGTGTTTGGGTGCGGTTAGCGTCAGAGGCTGCGTCTCCACCGCAGGCGGTCACAGGAGGAACCTGAAGAACATCTGCAGATATATTTATCCTGAGGCTGACGGAGTGTAGTGGCAGAGGACTTTTTGATGTTTTTAGAACTGGACTGCATTTCAGTGGCTGCAAAGAAAAGACGAATCAGTTCTGGGTAAATGTTTGTGTACATGTAACCAGCTCCTCTGAAAAGAAAAGTAAAAAAAAGAAAAAAAGAAGAAAAAAACAAACACTTGAGGGTTAATAAGCCTGCTATAAATGAATTTCATATTTACTGTACAAAAGTCAGTTTGAACAGGGTTGTTCATGTCATCACTTGAAAAAAAAACAAACCAACAAAAAAAACTTTGTAAGCACTACTTGTCTTCAAAATACAATTTTGGAAATACTTCTGTGTTGTTGTTTTTTTAAGTTTAATTATATACACACTACAGTTCAAAAGTTTAGGGTTTTTAATGTTTTCTCTCCAAGGCTGCATTTATCAAAAATCAATCAGTAATATTGTGAAATAAAGCTGAATTTTCAGCATCCTTACTGATTTTATTTGTGAAAACTGATTTTTTTTATTCTTTGATGAATCGTAAAAATAGCATTTATTTGAAATAAAAATCTTTATTATAAATTACATTATAAATGTCTTTACTGTTACTTTTGATCAATTCAATGCATCCTTGCTGAATAAGACTATTAATTTCTAAAAAAAAAACTGACCCCAAACTTTTGAACAATAGATAACACTGCAGGAAATCTGTCTCACTGTCTCAACCATGAAACTATTTCCTCTTCCCTAAATCCTATCTATTTTGCCGGTTCCATTTACGGAGGACAAACGAAAATGCATTAAAGGCAGGGTAGGTGATTTGGTTCAAAAACATGTTTTGTTATGCTGGTTGAAAGTCTCATCACATCCCAATAGCAATTACTAAGTTAAGTGGTCTAAATTTATTTATAAGTATTTATATAATCTGTGGAAGCGTAGGACCATAAAATGTTCGTCCAATATCCCTCGGTCTGAGGGCTACAATAGGCTGTTCTACCTGCATACCTCCACACACCCTGTTTGCGCAGATGTGATACGTCATCAGTGCGTTCCATCAAGCTATTGCAGACCGAGCGAGAATGGAAGACGTTATTATTGTAATATTATGCGTTTTGTACTGTGATGTTTTCTCACCGGTGAATGAGACATGAGGTAATCTGACAGAGTTGCATTCAACCCTCCACAAACATCATCTCTCACAGTGTCGCTGGTTAGCCTCTGGTCTGCGTGTGAGCGTTTATGTGTTTTGGAGGAGGCGTGGCTTTAGAGAGTGATTTGCAGGGAGGGTGGGATCTTATGCTTTCAAAGCTAGCCTTTGAAAAAGCTAGCCTCTCCAAAATCGCCTACTCTCCCTTTAAAGTCACTCAATCTGATCTTAATTTTGAGTGCCTTCAACTGCAAGTAAAAATTAGAAAAAACCCTTTCAGTAAAGCTTTCTGTCTTTATTTTTCAACGTCTCCCATCAACTGAACCCATGAGGATTGCTTATTCAGGCCCTTGCTAGTGAATGCAAAAAAAGTTCTTAAGATGGTTTCAGAATCCAGTATCACTTTTTAATTTCTGCGCACATAAATCTGAAGTTGATTATTATGAGGTGGGATGTTTGAAATAAATGCATTTGTTCTTACATTACCTATAACATTCACTTATTTGCTTTTCACAACTATTCATTATTCATATTAAAAACCATATATGGCATATATAAGCAAATATGTGCGCAAAAACCATGTACAGCCAACCATTTTTTCACGAAGACCAGAATAAACGGCATAAAGTACAAATATTAAACCTTTTGAGTAGGAAAAATTTAAAAGAACATAACATTAATGATATCCAAGCATACAAACACATTTTAGGAGTAGCTTAAAGTGATTTTCAAATGGCAGATTTTTTTTCCCTCAGGTCAGAACCTCGATGTATCAGGGAAGAACAAGGATTGCAGTCCTCTTCTCACACTCGTCAACTCTTCCTCGTGCTACAAAGACAAAAAAACTTGAATTCAGTCCTGCAGAATTTTGTGACTTTAAGTATAAAATATCAGTTCTGTTTGGGCTCTCTCTCACCATTTCTTTGAAGAAACGCTCCTGAACTGACTTCATGTTCTTCTTCATCAAAGACATCTGCAACAGAAGCAGACAATCAAAGGTTAAAATGGCTTGAACTGTAAATATGACTAAACATAGAACCATGTTGGAGCTCACTCAAAAAAGGTTTAGGTCCTCACCTCCACAGAGAAGATTTGTTTCTCATATTCTAGACCAGGGGTGGCGAACGTCGGTCCTGGAGAGCCGCAGCCCTGCAGAGTTTTGCTTCAACCCTAA